ACCTTCCGCCTTTCCTCTCCTTTGCCATGCGAGTGGTGGGGCAGGAGCGATCCAGATAGGTCTTGCTGGATTTATACTAAACACGTCTGGTGTTTATTTAGCTCTGAAATAATCCAGGAATTAAAATTACGTTTGGAAGAGGAAAAGAGGAAGCCCAAACAACGAAGCCATTCAGGTGCCTGATCTGGCTAACTGAAAGAAAGAAGCAAGCAAACAGCAAAAAAGCGCCTAAGAACACCCCCCCCACCCCCCCGACAGTAGCTTGTTTAATAAGAGGGAGGGGAGCGCAAGGAGGGACGGAGCCGCGGCCGCAAACAATTGCTACCCAGCTAGTGCTTTTTACGCAGGAACGCGAGTCAGCACTTTCGATGCAGCATTAGGGATTCTGCGGAGATTGCCCAAATTTTACGACCTGCCAGTAGTCGCAAGGGACAAGGAATATAATTTTCACGATCAGAAGTGAAATCTACTAACTCCCTCCTTTCAGTGCTAGGATAAATACTGCCATCCGATAATCCCTTTCCCTTCATTCCTATTACCCTCTTTATTTGGAAGTACACACGCACACATTTGGAAGTACACATCTGTGTAACGTTAAAGCAGCAGGTGAAGCTTTGATTTAAACGAAGGAATCCAAACGATCAGACGAAAGACGGCGTGCGGGAGCCGGCCAGCACCTTTCTAAGTGCCACCAGCAGGTATGGGAAGCAGAGGGTGCAACGCACCACGGAGGAAGAAGTCACAAACCCCAGGCGCCTGGCTGCGCCCCAGGTCTGCCGGACTCTGCTCCGTGCCGTTCTCGTGCAGGAGCTCCCAAAATACGGGGATTACTGTTGATCTGGATGCGAGAGGAGCACTGTTGATTATCGATCAGCAGTCCACCGTTAATTATGGGGAATACAGGGCAGCCCCAGAGTTTGCAAGCAGTAAGAGTTAGGAGCCCATGATCTCGGCAGCTTCGGAATGAACGGTCTGGTCTGGCTCTAAATGCTCACAGCCTGGGAATACGTTTAACTCTTTCCTGCTCGCTTTACGAAGTTTTGGCACTGATCGGTGCAGCAGTCACAGCAGCTGGTTCTTCTGCAGGCGCTCACCTACAGAAATGGCTCTTTCCTCAGTGGTCAAAACAGCAGCTACAGCTGGAAAAAAATAGCAGAACCAGAAGGGAAGCGCACTCCCGAGAGTGTGATTTACATGGATTTACCTCGGTATAGCAAAATAAAATCTGTCACAATCAAATTACTGGCCTCAAAACAATGCAGAGATTAGCAGTGAACAGAGCACTCGGTGGTAAAGGGAGTGTGTTCAGCAAATCAAAACACAAACACTTCAGGAAGGAGTTGCAGAATTTTGTCAAATTAAAAGTTAAACAACATTGTCTTCTACTAGGAGCTGCCAGGAAGTGTCAAAACACCTAGTTACAAAGAATAGGAGTGTAATTACGTGTTTCTGTTTATCGTTTCCGTTCTCATCTCATTATAATTCTGGTTTTTCCTGCCATTCTTCAGGTAGTGAGCCTTGCTGACATACAGAGCCTATGGCTTTCCCACCTAGGAACTCTTCCCTCCTTCCTTTTTTTCTTTCTCTCCTTGGTCTGCGGTGCAGACACATTTCTTAACGGACGCTGCCTGTCGTGTCCTCCAGTTTTACCGGTCCCATTTCCACATTGCTGCTGGAGCGCGGAGCCCAGGGCACAGCCGG